AAAAATTCCCAAGCGGATATTGCTTCTTGAGATTTTTTTCTTAATACATTATGATAGACTGAAAGTTCAGTAAAATGGTCATAACTCGAGAAGAAAGGCACAATGGCACGAACCACTTTAGAGTATTTACCTACACTATGAGCCCTACCTATGGGCATAATATGAAGGCCAACGGTATGAATCACCTGGGAATGTTCCCTCGTTAGGGAAAATTCTTGATATTTCAGAGCCAGGTACTTAAGGCATCCAGTCAGGATCCTTCCAGGATTTGCTCTTTTTTCCTGAGAAAACGACTAAATCCTGAAAGAAGCGTGTAGCCACGGAATTTCAAGATCCTGACAGGATTCGAAACAGGATTACATCGGGATCTTCAGCAGATCACCATTGTGTTGAAATCAGGATCCTGGTTCATTCCTAATTGAAAAAGAAATTTCGATCCACAGGCCAGCACATTTATCTATTTTTCCTCGAAGAATTTACCAGTTTTGCTAATAGGATTCTTGCAGGATCTTAGTGAGTTTCCTTCAGAGTGTTATACTATTTCTTAGCAGGTTCCTTGCAAGATTTTCTAAACAGAACAGAAAACAAATGAACACATAGAGTATCGATCTCTAGACCTTGAGTATACATACTGATCAGTTTAGCCGGCTGGATTGTGTCATGTTATCGTATATAAAGTTAATGTTCAATATTTTCAATACTAACTTAAATTTAAACTTCTTTTCCGGTTTTATACGAATTGAAATTATCTCGAATAAATTGTAAAAATATAACATCATTTCAAACATTTATCTAATTAAGAAGATATCTCACTGTTTACTATAAATTTTGAGTCAGTGTCAAAAATATATTTATTATTTTTCTCATGCATGAATGAAACTAAGAAGAGCTTTAACCTAAAATTTACCACAGACTAAAAACGACTATTTAATAAAAAATATTGAAGTAATCGATTAAAAATTAACGATGTATCGCAATACTTTGTGAAAAAGTTTTCTGAAAACAATAATTAAAAAAACTAGTTTTTATCGAGAGAATGCTGCAATAGCATCAATTGTTACTTAGAAAAATTCTAATCAGAATAAGTTTTGTAAGATTTTATCAGGATCGTATCATTTATTTGTAACGAGTTCCGAATTCTGTTAGGAATTGAAATTTTACTACTTTATCAAAAACGTTTAATCCTCCAGTTTTAGATCTTTAAAGGATTCCATCAAAATCCTTCAAGGATTCGTTCTCTTTTACTGAGAAAACGACGAAATGCTAAAAGAAATGTGGAGTCATGGAATGTCAATATCCTGGTAGAATTCGAAACTGGATTACATCAGGATTCTAAACCAAAATATCATTGTTCTTCAATCAGGATCCTGTCACGAATCATTAATTCCTGAAAGAAGTGTGTAGCCACAGAATTTCGAGATTCTGACAGGATTCGAAACAGGATTACATCAGGGTCTTGAGCAGATTTTCATTGTTGTTGAATTTGGAATAATTTAGGAAACAAGATATGGTTGTGGGTGTGAACAAGAGTTCTATTCATGTTAACTTAGAAGCACAGTCACTGATACACCCTCTTGTTGGCTTTGTGTTGAGACCCTCCTCAGTTTTAGCTGCAATAGTTGACCGGATATTTGTACCAAGACTAGCATCAGATCTTGTCTGAAACTTGATTAATCTTGAGAGAGTCCTCTCTATTATTCCTGGAAAGGTTCTAAGCAAGATCGCGATTATATCCTTGAAGCAGGGCTGCCAGACGTGTACCCCATTTCTTCATTTTGTACCCCAAAATATTTTGTATCCGTGAGGTACACATTTTGTAATCCATTTATCTTTTTTAATCATTAGTGCGATATACTGGTATTCAAGTGAAAATAAAGTATACTTTCTAGTAGAATTTCTATAATATTTTTACGGAGATACCTATAATCGAATATATTGGTAAAGAGTTGACGAATAAATATTAGCAAATATTAAATTTATTTTATTTCATCTCTGGTTATTCAGTCTTCATAGTTTTTTTACTCCCAAAATGAATATACAGTTGAAAGAATCTTTGTATTTTTCGTATTGCTTTATTAACAGTTATCTCATATTTGAATCATGCATTTCATGTCAAAAATTTAGATTTGAATTTCTATTTAACATATATGTATGATAATAATATGTATATGGAATCGAACGAAAATAATAGAACAGAAACTTCTGAAGAATCAGAAGCAGAAATAATAGTAACAATCAACAACTCTTCTAGGTCTCAAAAAAAATCAACTATTGATATTAAACAGAAAAAAGTCAATTCATCATTAAAATCGAAAAGACATTGTACTTTCAACAAGAAATGATTAAACGATCCTAAATATTCTGAATTTCTAAGAAAATGTCTATCTGACCCACATTTTGCACATTGCTCCATTTACAAGTCTAATTTTTCTATTTCGAACGGAGGTGTCTATCTAATCAATCGACATGCTGAACAAGCAAATCATAAACGATTAGTTAAAATCGAAGCTAAAGAAAAATGTAAAGTTTAACATTAATGTTCGATAAAATTTCATTGATTTATTTATTTTTGTCATTGGCACGATCAATTAACGACTTTATTCCATCATCAACTACTTTAACTAAATTAACTGCTGCTGAACTTAGTCTGGTTTATCATAGTGTCCATCATGGACATAGTTATGTTAATCAATTATGGTCTGTGGATCTATTAAAGAAAATTTTCAATGAATCTGATATTAGACAAAATATCTCTTGTGGGAAAACAAAGGCACGTGATGTAGCAGTAAATGTTCTTGGTAAGATAATTTCATTTCCTGCTATCAAAATTGTTATCTCATATGAAATAAAATAAGAAAATGTTCAATATCTGTGGCTAGATGTTTATTTTATTCTCAACATTCTCTACTTTTTTTCATAGTTTGCCTTTTATTTTAGCTTCTTATATTATTTCTAAAATTATTGAACAAATAAACAATTCTTATATTTATTCTTTCTCACTTGACGGATCCAATAAAGGAAATATAAAGATGTTTTCATTTATTATTAATTATTTTACTGTTCAATCTAGTATAACAAAATCTGTATTAGAAGTAACTGAACAATCTTGTGAATCTACTGAACATATTGTTGCTGCAATACGTGATGTGTTAAAAAAAATAATATTGATATTCAACGAATGACTTCTATCGGTGCTGATAACATCAACACTAATTACGGTCGGCATCATTCAGTATTTAATATCATAAAATTGGAAATTATAAATTTGTTAAAAGGTAATAATATACTTTCAAGCAAAACAAAGTTTTAAGAAAAAATATCCTTTTCTTTCTTATCAGGAAATTGTTATTATCACATTCTAAAAAATTCAGTCAAAACTTCTCATCAATATCTTCTAGTTGACATTGAGTCATATTTAGCGCAATTATACAGTCACCTTTGTTCATCATCAAAACGAGTTGCAGCTCTTAATGAGTATTTCGAATTTGTTGAAGAAGGCTATTTTGTTAGTATGCTTAGCTTATTGTATTATATACGAATATGAAGCAGCTATTTATTTAGTGTCTATTACAACATATAAAAATTCGTTGGTTAACCTTATTTATATCAATTGATCGATTGTTGAAAGTTTATGAACCATTATCTGGATATGTTCTTAACATTGACGATATGAATGAAGATGCAACAATATGTCCACCAATGATAAAAAATTTCTTCTTATCTAATATAGCTAAATGTACATTGTTTTTTTTTACATAATATTTTATTCGATATTCAAACAAAAAACCTTGAACTACAACGATACAATAAATCAATTGTCGATTTAAATAGAATTATTATAACCTTACTTAAAAAGTTGAATGACCAATTAGAACAAAATTATTTTGGTCATAAAACACGATTGTTATTGAGTTCAATGTCACAAGTCGAACAAGAACAAGTAATATATTCGTTTAAAAACTATTTGTCGAATATTATTAAATATGTAAATAAATATTATACTGAAATTTCAACTTTAGCTGAAACAGTATCTATTTTCGATATATTTATATTGTGTACAAGTACAAAGCAACAGAATCAATTCTTTAATTTTAGGAATAACAGATATTGATCAAATTACATTCGATCTAATAGAAAAATATACTTTTATTCTAAATTTTGAAATAAATCACGACAAACTATTTGAAGAAATGATTAATTTACAATCTACATTCAAAGAAGTGAATTCTTATCGTGAACCTTTATCTATTCAAGGAGAAAAATATATTGCTGATCATGATGTTAAAAAGCAAATAATTAATGAAGAAATTAGAGAACCAGATGATGAAGAGAGATTTCTTCATAAATCATCAACACAAAATCATCAAGATAATAATAATCATAATCGAATTTGGCCAGAGCAACTCTGGGCTTATTTAATTTCAAAAACAACAACAAACTGTGAACAAATGACAAAATTAATCTCGTATGTTTATTCCATTCCTTGCTTAAATGCATTTACAGAAGATGTTTTTAGCCACATGAAACATGCATGGACATGTAGTCGAAATGCAATGTCCATTGAGACAATAGCTGCTGAATTACAAATAAGATTAAATTGTAAAGTCAAATGTAACGAATTCTTTACATTTGTTCAAAATCAACCTGAATTAATTAAATGTGCTCGACGATTAGAAAAGTATAGTAATTGAAAAGAAAATGTTTCAGTTGATTCCATATTTAAAATGTCTTAATATAAAATTTTGTATTTCTTTTTTTTTCTTAGATTATTTTTAAGGCCATTGTGTAACTTTGAAAGTGCTTTTTTTTTGGGAATAAATGAACAATAAAGTTGTCTTCTATCAGAAATAGATCAAATATAATGTTGTTTTCTGTAAGATAAGTTTTGATTTAATAATTTTTCTAACCAGTCCCTCTGTTTCCGAAGAAAAAAGGTGTATCTCAACGATGTACCCCATTATTAAAAGATTTGGACCTCATTCGACCTTTCGTGTACCTCATTTCGAAATTAAGATCTGGCAGCCCTGCCTTGAGGGATTCTGCACTCATGATTTGCAAACAAATCTGACCAGGAACGAGAAGAAATCCTGAGCAGGACTCTATATAACCGTGATAAATCTTGGGAGCAGGAATTATCACGAATTGAGCTAGGATCATGAGGAAAGCTTGACAAGATCCTGAAGGTCCAGAATCCTGACAGATCCTTTCAGGATTTCTCAAGAAATGAACAGGATTGAGACTAGGTTTAGCTCGGCGTAATTGAGCCATGTATTGAATTGGTTTTACTTCACAATTAGTATTATGTCGAGAGCATTGTGTTTGACAAATTTGGGTCAACTTTGAGTTCCTCTTTAGTCAAAGATCGATTCAGCATGGGGTGTGTGACAGCTTCAGCTCCATAGCTCCCGAGAGCTGAATCGCAGTACTGGCGTACAGCTCCGGCTCATGTGAACGAGAGTTGGCTGATCAGTGCCAGCTCAGCGAAGTCAACTGAAGATGTCATGCACCTACTAATGGGTACCACTTTACGACAGTGCTTGAGAACTTATAGGTACTCTCTTGATAGCTCTTCAGGGCTTACAACTACCCCTATAGGATAATCCTTGACGACTTACGGGTACAGCTGTATGATAGCCCTTTACAATCTATGGCTGCCATCATAGGATTGTTCTTGAAGACCTATGGGTACCCTAATAGGACAGCCATTGAGGACTGCTAGTGCTCGTCTCCAGCTCCCAGAAGCTGAACTGGTCAACAACTCAAGTTTGGAGGAGCTGCCGTTGTCACACATCTATTTGAAAAAGACACAAATTCTGTTCTCAAATCAGAATATTTTTGTTCAGTTTTGGGAACAGAACCATCAAGAAATACTAAGAAGTACTAAGAAGTACGGAGAAGTACGAAGAAGTACGGAGAAGTACGAAGAAGTATGATAAAATACAAAGAAGTATAGGGAAGTACGTACAAGTAGGCACTAGTACAATTCATCGCAAAACAATTCGTTGCACATGCATTGTAAAGAATACATTGATTGAATTAAGTAATTTAGTTTAATATGTTATACAATTAATCGCCTTAATAAAAATTTTTCTTTCGACTCATAAGAATCTTTTTTCAGAATACAATGGTTTTTTCAAAAATAAAATAGAGATCTCAATTTAAAGCCTATTTTAAAATCTAATTAAAAAAAATTGAAGTTTGATTTTAGATAAAATTCTATGTAAACAAATTAAAAATAAAGTTCATTTTTTTTCAATTGAAATTTAACATTTTATTTAAAAAGAAGCTGAAAATTAAAACAAAAATATAAAATTGAAAACAATTTTACAAATATAAATTAAAAAAAAACTAAAGCTTTTTATTTATTGAAAGCATAAATTTTAATAACAAAAAAGAACTTTATTTTTAACTTGTCAACATAGAATTTTATTTAAAATCAAACTTCAATTTTTTTTAATTAAATTTTAAAATAGGGGTTTAAATTGACATCTCTATTTTATTTTTGAAAAACTATTGTATTCTGAAAAAAGATTCTTGTGAGTCGAAAAAGAAAATTTTGTTAAGGGGATTAATTGTATAACATATTAAACTAAATTACTTAATTCAATCAATGTATTCTTTACAATACATGTGCGACGAATTCATCGATCATCGAAAAAGTACAAGTATGAAGAAGTACAGGATATCCCAACAGTCATGATCACTTAAGAAATTCATTTATCTCTCTTATTCATCAAGCAATATCATTAATATTTTTTTATTTTATAGAGGAGAATAGTAAGTTTTTTTTTTGCATATGAATGAAGTTCATAAATACTGTTCAAAAATATTGTCTTTGACATCAATACAAAAATTTAGATGTTTTACAGTTTCTAAAAA